ATTTAATCGTTCAATGCACGATAGAACTCAGTCCAGAAAAATGAAAGTATCTGTTTAATTTATGGATAATATCTCACAGATATATGTTCCTTTACACCTGCATGTCTCCAGGACTGTGGGGCGAGCAGGTTGGATTACAACTGACCCTTCTCACCCTGCATATGAACTATTTGAACCACTCCCCTCGGGCAGGAGGCTTCGGTCCATTCGAACCAGAACCTCCTGCCATAAGAACAGTTTCTTCCCCCCTGCCATCGGACTCTTGAACACTCATAATCCCGTTATTGTATAACTCTGCTTTGGTCACTTTATCACTGTATTTTAACTGCACCACTCCATTTGCACGTTTTTTCCGAGTATTGTATTGTATTGATTGGTGTACATATGTTTTCTTTTATCTTTTATATTTTATTCACACCTTTATGCCGAAGCAAGTTCCAAGTCTGTGAATCCTGTTCATTGACAATGGCAATAATAAACTGAATCCGAATCTGAATCTGAAAAAAGTATTCTCATAAAGAATAAGAGTCACTAGTAACTTGGGAAAACATCAGCGACTCAGGAGGGAAACCAGATGATGGCCAGACAACTAACAACACAAAGACACAGGCTTACATACAATGAATAACGAGACATAACACATAACACCTGTGAGGACACGTTTGCTGAAACAGATCAGACTGAACTGGGAAACCAGGGAGAGTAAGAATGGAAACCAGCCACCAGAAGGCACAATCCCTACAACCTCATGTACAACATGTGTTACGAATGACAGTAAAGAACCTTGACAATGACAATATAAAATTATTTATCGACTTTTGAAGAAAATATTGGCAGCAGTTTCGGCCATGCCAAAACTGCCAAGGACATCCTTGTAAAAGAGATTGATGATCTTAATGGATTTCTTCCTGGTAAAATAAAGGTATAAATAAATAAAAAATTAGAAAAGTCTGTGTGACGGTATGGTTCATGCTATGAGTACTCAAAATCAGCTGATTTACCAGCTAAATCGTAAGATCAAGGCGATTTGTGAGAATTGCAGGCCACCTGCGGCTTTTAGGACTTGCCAGCATGTTGGAGATGACCTTGGATGTTAGAGATGACCTTGAGTGAGGCTCATAGCATGGGTCAGTGGAATGCCCATAAATCTGACCATTTTGGATCTGGAAAGTACCAGTAGGACACAAGCATGACAAGAAAAAAACAGTCTGCCTGAAGACATGGGTAAACTAAAGTAAAGCTTTGACTACGCCCCCCCCCCCCCCCCTGAGAACCTGTGGGGACTTATCAGAACTGCCGGCTTAACAACAACATCTTATCAGGACCATGGCCTTTCTGAAAGTGCTTCATGGACAAATCTCAACGTCTTGACACCACATGCATATGTATTGTGTTTATAGATGTGCTTGCTGGTAGAGTTTTTTGATGTTTCAAGTTGTGTCCTAATAGGACAAAATGTGAAGAGATCTTTTTTGTAATACCACTATCCATCCTCATGGCCTTTTACCTTTTTCTATCTAAAAAAGTATTCTCATAAAGAATGAGGCCGTACTTTTGTGGCAGCATAAACATACACTCTGCCCATCTTTCGGAAGACTGTACGGATATAATCTCACTGTGATTCTGATTATAATAATGCTACAAGTTCAGGGGATGACATCTGTGAAGCTTGGTTGGTCCTGAAGATCTGTCAACTGACTCAAGAAATAGCTGACTTGACTGTCTTTCTGGTTGGCCCCCATTTGTTTGCTCCATCGACGAGCAGGGGGATCGACTGCCCCTCCCACTGTGAAATTCTCCCCGGCGCTTTAGGTTGTGCATAGAGAAAGTAGGTTGAGGGTTGGACCTGGGAGTCAGTTGTTCCAAAGCATTTTTACCACCAGCCCCTCTTGTGCTGGCAGTTTCGTTAGAGCTGAGCCCTTCTCTCCTCTTCCTCCACAAGAAGAGGGAAGGGCAGAATTTCAACCTCCGGGCTGCGGTGTCTTTGTTTCTGGATGGGTTCGGTCTGGAACCTGCCCCACTGGATAACAGACTCCTCTGTCTGTACTTTCTCCCACCAGACTGTCTGTGTTGTTACCTAGACCAGATAATTGGCCCAAGTCATCTGCCTGCTGGGTTCTTTTTACTTGGTCTGGGCATACTGTCATGAGGCGTGAAGCAGAACCCAATGGTGCAGGCAGGATTCGAAGACCAGATGGTTAAATGAGAACTACTTATAATAATACAAAATAAACAAGCTATTGAGGCAGTAAAACTTTCATTCATTGGAGACCTGTAGAACTCTAAAAGAGGCACTAGGAACTCAGGAAAACACCAGGAACTCAGGAGGGAAACCACACAATGTCCAGACAATGAACACCACAAAGACACAGGCTTATATACAATGACTAAAGAGACATAACACACAACACCTGTGAGGACACGCAGCTGAAACAGATCAGACTGAGCTGGTACACTAGGGAGTGTAAGAATGGAAACCAGCCACTAGAGGGCACAATCCCTACAACCTCATGTACAACATGTGATGCGAATGACAATAAAGAACCTTGACCATGACAATATAAAACCATGTAGGATGTTCATTTAATCTCACACTCATTCACAATCTCACACTCATATAATAATGTATCACTAAGTATATCAGAAAATTTGGCAGCATTAGATTATTTGAGGAATTCTCTCAAACAGGGAGGATTGTAGGGTTTTATGAAATGCTTGGAGCAATCACTTGTATGAGAGGGCCCCTCAATATGTGGCCAAATTAAGAATGTGGAATCATTATGGATCCATTTGACCTTTTCTTGCAGGAAAGAGCTAAATGTGTTTTGTTTTTCTAGACAGAAAGCAAGCATCATAATGGCTGGGCATACGGCAGAGTTCTGGTGTACTGGACAAATTTGCAATATCAAGCTTTGTTTGTGTAAGCGTCTGACATACATGGAGAATATAAAATGAGAGCTGAGCTACTTTGGGTCAGTGGTTTCTATTTCGGCCGTGTGCTGTTCAGAGATACACTGTGTTTTACAATAAACCCTGACTTTGCTGTCAATCAGAATCAAAGTGTCAAATTATTTTATTTAACAATTAAAGTATCCATGCAGTAAAAAGTTAGTTCCTATTTCCTTAGTTCCTATCATGTAAATCATGTATCTTCTTAATCTTACATCCAGTTTGGTCTGCAGTATGGCTTGTATTTATGGGAAACAGAAAATAAAACAGTTTTAATAAGGTTCCATGCTCCTCTGGATGCAAGGAAACACTGTTGCAGTGCAGCTGTGTTCCCTTGCCTCTGCTGGCTTGGACCCCTGAAAGTCTAAGAAAGCCAGGCTAATGAAAAAAGAGAATGTTTTTTTGAAATATTTTATCTTCTTTTAAGGTTTAGGTACATACTGCTTTGTTTGCCTCAGTTACCACATAACTACAGTTTCACATGAATCAGGCTGCAGAATCTGAAGTGTTACAATGTGTTTAATAGATTTTCTAAACCAGGGGTAGAAAACAGCATAAATTATTGGATTTAGACAAGAATTACAATAAAACAACCAGACCAAAAAAACGGAAATCTCCTGATTTGTAATTAAATTCATTCCTGCAAAAGCAGGCAAAAAATAAGGACAGAAACTTGTTACAAATACAATCACAACAACACCAAGAACTGTAGCTGCTTTTCTCTCAGACTTCTTAGTAGATACAGGAGCTGAACCCTTCTGACTCACAGCTGCAACATGAGACC